ATTTGGCCTAAATCATATAATAATTAATATTATAAGATAATATTAAAAAACTATTTATGAGAGCTATTGCTCTGAATTAAAAAATAGCTCCTTCATATTAAATCAAAAGCAATTTTGCAGAATAATAATTCGAATGAAATCTCATCCAAAAAACTTTTTAAATGCGGATAAAAATGAGATAAATAAATAAGGTAAATCAAAAATTATATGAATTGGTTATTATAGCACAAGTTTGATTTTATTCAACTACACTTGAAATAGTACGTATACAAACTCAGCTTGAAAAGGCCTAGTATAGTATTTAAAGATTGCGCTAGAGGATTCGGACGGACATGCTGCTTATCAAATAACTTGGAGATTAACGCTGATCTAGGAACAGCTGAATAAAGTCGAAGCATGTCGCGTGCTATGAGCGCCATGTAAATTAATGTCAAAGCCGCCCTCCTTCAGGATGTTTTTCAACCAGTGATAGAATATCTATTCTTGCTCCTTTTTATGTTGGTTAAAGAAGGAAGTAGCGAATAAGGAAGTAATCTTATGATCGTAAAACAGAAATTTTGAATATAAACACTCTGAGACAAAGCTGGACGCGCCTACATATTTTCTTTTATATAAGGCAATATAATCAAAGATTAAAGAGCATTGGTTTTTAAGTATAAGATCAATACCATTTAAGTATAAGAGAAGATAAGATCTTTATTAGGTTATCAATTTTAATTAGAACTCTCAAATATTATATTATAACATTATTATAACCTGAACTCTTCTTGTTAAACAAAGTTGACGTGACAGCTGCTGCTTCTATTTTATTTCTCTAAATTGTGATAAATTTCACATAATGTTAAAAGTAACAAAATGCTTAATATCATCTTATTTTGAATGATTAAGATTTTAGATAGATGGAAGAATGTTTTAAACCAAAATTAAAATGCATTTTTCTCTTAAAGTATAATATACTGTTGCCATTCAGTGAGCCCTCACTGAAATAATTTTATGTTACTTTATATTTTACTACTGCTATAGAGATTTTCGCATTTACGTACAAAATTATTATAACTAACAATAATTGTTAGTAAGTATTGGTAGTATTATTTCTAAGTTATACTATCTAATATGATCCCACGGTTTGTGCCAGACAAATTGTTACAGCTGTGGCCTCCAAGCTGGAAATGAACGTGGGTCAAAATAAATTCTATATTCGTGGAAATGAAGGCAAAGTTTGCGTAGAACCAGTGAATTAAAGCCAGTAAAGAAAAATATATGATTACAGTTGGAAGTTTAACATCGGATACCTCAAAAGAAATAGCTGTGAACCGTGTTTTTATTAGAGAAGCCCTCATGAAGTCCATGAAAACTGTCTTATATAATACGAAGAAGTAATTACGTAAATCGTACAAATTTATATGGCAAAAAAATGTTAGCAGGAAAAGTTAAATTACATCACTTCTAAATATTAACAAACTAGTAAAACCGAATAAGGATCAAAATAAATAATAATAACATAAATATAAATTGTATCTTTTAAAATAGAACTAGCAGAACCCGCGGCTTCGCTCGCGCTAAAACTACAAAAAATAACTAAAAAGTTAGGTTTCATGCCAACTTTCATCCGCTATTTTACCCCATTATGGGATGAATTTCGAAAAATGCTAAAATATGTATTTAATGAATTGTATTTAAGATTGTTAATACCAAGTTTCACGAAATTCTGATCATAAATATTTTTTAATTGTATTATAATGTGTATCCCGTGGGAATTAGATAATCTCCCGCGGTAAAAAGTTGCCTATGTCGCTCTCCAGCCCTCCAACTATCTCCACACAAGAAATCATGCCTATTCGCCAAGTCGTTTCGGCGTGAAAGAAAGATAAAGAAACAAATACACTTTTCATATTTATAATATTAAGTATGGATATTTGGAGCCATTAACAAATAATGAAATAAGTAATTATTGTAGTTCGTATTGTAGTTTTCGAGTTTTCATGAGGTTTTCTTTCACCACGCAAAATATGGTCGCAAGCTCAGGCATAAGCATCGTTGGCCGCTTGCCCAGGCGCAAAATTGACAATCATAGGTGGTCCGGTTCAAATCCCGGTCGGTGCAAAGTTTTTACTTTTGTTTTTTTTTGTATATATTCAAGTTTTAGTTTAAAAAACAAAGAATATTGTACTTTTGGCCAAAAACTTCGAGCGAAGCTCTGTAAGCCCAGGTACTAATCTTTATGAGTTACTCCAAACAGATTTTAATTTACTTAACAAATAGTGGCACGATGCTGGGTTATAGTCTAGTCAACAAGTGCCTTTTAGATAAACTTTTTTCAGCAAGCAGTCTTGGAAAAATATGAACGAGGTGTCATTCGATTCGGAATAGCATGTAGATGATTTTTCAAAAAAAAATTAAGTTTCGCGTGAAAAAAATGCAAAGTTATAAACAATTAACTAAAAATAAAAAAGGGGTTTCAACAAATATCTCAAAAAGTAATTGAGATTTTTCAAATGAACAATAATATTTAAAAAATAACTGATAAATTGTCTCAACATATATTGTATCTAAATATTTTTCCTTAAAATGTACAATTCCCATTTACAAATTCCTAAGAGTAAATCTAAATCTATACCGGACAAAAATGCAGCTTGAATTATTTTGCGTTCCGCACAACGGATTTATGGGAAGAGATAAAATTTTGGGAACGAGGTCATTTATTACTCCAAAATTGTATAACATCACGTATATTCAGGGTCAGAATAGTAGGCTAATGTTATGTTCTGGACAACTTTGAATTTTCATTAGTCTAAAACATTTTCGAGGTAGTGGTAGCCCAGTGGTAACGCGCTTGCTTGGGAAACCAAGTGTAGTGGGTTCAAATCCCGGATCATGACTCTGTTATTTTCAATTTTTATGTGCGAATCATTTCTAACAAAATTACCACTTGTCTTATGAAGAGAAACATTGTGAGGAAACCTGTAAGTTTGAGTAAACCTACCAAGTTTTTAAAAAACTGAATGGATTATGAATCCGCGCAGTAAAGAGAGGTAAATGGCTAGCAGTGGGACATTTCAAAAAATATTTTTATAAATATTAACTTTTATTACAAAACGGTATCATATTTATCTATTTGTGTACCACATTGAAAAACTCGAGTAAAAATTAAATACATATATTTATATTTTTTGGTTAAATTTAAACCATAGCTTTAGTTTAGCTTTTTCAATCGGTATATTCTAAGAAGCAGCGTTAGCTATACGCTCTACAGTAAGTTAGTGATTAATATAAAACAATGCCAGACGAAAAAAACGTTAATTTTGTTCTAAAAGTCTACGCGTACTCAAAATAAAGAGCAAATTGTCAAACACCACTGATTATTTTATCAATAAGTTTATGGATTTACTATATAATTTGATTAATATTGTTTAAGAAATGGGGAATTTTAAGAGATGAAAAGATATGTATAAATAAATAAATTCTAATACAAATGCAATCATCGTGATAGATTATATTTTAGCATTCTTATTTTGATGTAATGTCTTAAGAAAAAATACTTTCCTATGGATGGAAACTAAGGCTTGAAACCTCGATTTCATGTGAATTACAGGTGTTTAGTGTTTGCGGAATACATATATTATGTAGACCCACGTAGATAAAGACTAATAATATTAAATTAATTAATAAAAAAAAACATTTTTAATTCCTATATTAACTTCATAATATATTATATATTTATTAATAATCTTATTTTAGTATTTTTTTAGAATTTACAGAATAAATACAATGTTTTTTTATATTTAAAATTGCAAACCTTGGATGCTTGACAGATTTTTTACACATTGATCAAACAAATAGACATAAAGAGCTAAGATTATGACTTTGTATTCGTATAATGTAAGACAACTTAGCGAAATAAGAACACAATACATTTCTCAGTAGGTCTTACCTTAACAGCCTCTAAGGAGCAAAACAAAGGTGGTATAATTTATAAGAAAATATTATCGTCCTGGATAAAATGAAATACGTATTTTAGCGATTATAGAATTTCATTCTCTTAAAGGTAAAGGAGGCTAAAACTTAAATGGGAAAAGGTAACCAGGTGTAGCCAGAGAAGATGGCTGAGGGAGATAGTTGGAGGTAGAATCTACGATTCTATATTTAGCTTATAATATATTATGTACATATGTATACAAAATTGAAAATATTTTTATTATGGGAAATGTACTTATACTTACTTAGTAGATACATAATAGATATTATATGTACTACTCATTTTAAATAATTAAATAATAATCATCATATTTAAGTTCAAAATTTACCAATCCACAAATTTCTATTTGGCATTTATATTACAAATTATTATTATATTTGATGTTCAAGTTCTTTATACATTTTATCCCTTGTTTGAGGGACAGGAGGGAAGGTGACTTCTTACGTTTTCTGCTTTCTGCTGGTATAGAGATACTGAATGGTAAATGTAATATGGAAGACGACCGCGTCAGTCTAAACAGTCACCACAAATGGGAATCGAACCGATATCGCCAGTCATCATGTATTTATTATAAAACTATATATCAATAAAATATTAAACTATCATTATTATATTATTTATAATATCTATAATAATTGCTTCTCTTATATATACCTAATATTAGATTACACTTAGCAAATATTTAAACATAAAATAATGTGGTCGACATAGATTAAAGAAAATATTAGGTCTACGCAAAATTAAATGTTATAAACCTAATATATTCGCCTTTTTTATTTTCCCTTTTCCATTCCAATTTCATTTAAATGTTTGATTGATTGGAAAAAATGAGTTCTTGTTCGTTTCTTTGGTTAACATTTATTTCGGTAAAATATTATTAATTTCCAAAAATAAAAGATTCATAATATAAGTCATAAAACGTAATGCTTTCATGAGGTCAGATGAAACATCCTCAAACAAATTACGAATCATAATTGAAGGCTTTGGCTTCTTTAATAAAATATAAGGTATTTTTGTAATATTAATACTTTGGTATCGGTACATTGAGCAGCTCATCGTAAGGTACTGCTGTGAAAAACTTCTTAGCAGTTTCTATGGTGACATTCATTGCGTAGTCGACTACTGGTTGGCCGAACTCTTCTGTTACGACCCTCCAATTTTCATTTAGAAATTGTAATACTGTGTTACCTGAAATATTAAATAAGTTTAATTTTAAATTGATTGTTTGAAATACGTATTCTTAAGAATAGAAATATGAAAGTTTGTGAGTATGTATGGATGTTTGTTACTCTTTAACTCCAGAACGGCTGAACGAATCTGGATGAAATTTGGCACAAAGATATAGTCTGAGATAACACTTTATCTCGGAAAAATGTTCGGTTCCCGTGGGATAGGTTTTTGTTTTCCTAGAATACTAAATAACTTAAATGTGATAGAAGTTGGTAATCTAGACAAAAAACGTGTACAATTATAGTGTATTTAGAGTCAGCTTATACTTATAACAATGAAGGTCAGATGCTATTTTTTTAAACGTGGGAGTATTATAAACACAATAGATATATTATACCATATCTCACACAGTATCATAATATTCGCTAAGTGCAGGGTATGATACTGTGTTGTCTTGTTTTTTTTTCAAATAATAATCTTTTTCATCTGTACCATAAAACCATAAGTAAAATGATGACATCCACTTTAATTATAAAGTTGTTCAGCATATCGCAAACTCTATATTTTCATTTCCTCGATTCATATGGATTAATTAGTACCCAAGCTGCGGAAAGTTTCGTAGGCGCTTTCAAATTAAATCGCTTGCGGGAGCTATACGATGCATAAGTTTGTCATTTGTTACTCCCAATTCACAACAGGCAATTCACCAACACATAAAATTTAATGGGCCTAAATTTTCAACTTTATTATAACTGAAAATGATAGGTACTCACAATTGATAAATCTATTCCCATATGTCCTGATATTTCACAAATTGTTAAATTGGAGTATTATATTTTACGTTAATAAACATTAATTTTCAAATTCCTATCGCATTAACAGAGCAATACTAGTAAAATAAATATCACGTTACATAAATTTTTAAATAATAAGAGTATCTAATATCTACCCATAACAAGAAAATAATTTTAATAGTAATAATATTTGACAAATAATATTATATTATGTACTAGTTTTTTTTATTAAATAAAATTAAAATAAAACAATATCTATATTTAACTATACACTAAACAAGTGTTAATAGGTTATATATACGTAAAAAAACGTTGTAAGTTGGATTATCCATATTAATTAGTCGTTAATTAATTATTATTATCAGTTTGTTAAATAAGATTTCTTCAGTTTTTTATATTGTACTAGCATTGCCCGCGGCTTCGCCATCGTTCAGATGACCAAAAGCCAAATTCTTAGGTTTTACATATTAGTATACTACATTGCAATTTATGTATTTTTTCTCAGAAATGAGATATTTTGTCGCGGTAAAAAGTATCCTATATGTTGACCCGGATAACCAACTATCACCATCCCCAATTTCATAAAAATCCCTCTCTCTAGTGGTTTTTCTGTGTTGCGGTAACAGACAGACAGACAAAAATTGTAAAAACTATACATTCGGACTCTGTATCGATAATAATGTTTATTTCAATAAGATTTTCCAAAAAATATTTAATGTACAGATTCGGCTTAGTTACAATTTTATTATATGTATAATATTATTATATGTACCTTACTAGCGACTTACCCTCGCTTCACTCGGGTGCGTCCCTGGGTACGTTTTAATTTGGTTATAAGAGCAACACTAATTCTTTGTCTAAAATAAAAGTAGCCTAACTTAGTCCTTATAACATCAGCTATCTACCAGTCAAAGTCGCGTCAGAGTCAGTCTAGCCGTTTCGGAGATTAGTCGGAAAAAACAGACATATAGACAAAAAAAATGTGTTTTTCTTATAAGTACCGTGTATAATTTCATATATGCATTTAGTAAAAATCTGTTATTTTGACATTACAGACAGACACTTCAATTTTATTTATCTGTATAGATAATTTTGTGATTAGAATTAAATTATATAAATCCCGCAGTCTTTTTTAATAGAAAAGATTATTATTAGAAGAAGTCATCGCTTTATTACTATAGATTGCAGTCTGTTATCCCAGCGGTGTCGTTGGGTGAATCTTTTCTTACGAGAAGCAATATAATGATCTGAAACATAAAATTATATTGATACTCACTCAATTCCGGATTCCCTTTGAATAGGTTATTGATGGTATAATGGACCCTGTCGCCATAGTCGAACGTATATTTATAATTTTTTATTCCAAAGTGGTCTCGTCCTTCTGCATCTTTGAAGTATTTGGTTTTTATATTCAGTTTTATGATAGAGTTCACTGTAATTCGAAGCAAAATCGTAAAAAGTTTAGTATGTGCTTATAAAATTCGCGTTTTCGTTTTGATAATGTAAGTCAACAAACAAACGTATGATTAAGTAGGCTTTCATATTTAATATATACTATTTATATTTTTTGATACACTTAAAATAAAGTTAGTTTGTGAAGTAATAAGTAATAATAAATATTTTTTATAAGCAATCGTATGTGAAATCTTACCTATTTTGATTTTGGAGTCACCTTCTCCATTTATTGGGAATAAAAGTAACCTTCCAACAGCAGTATATTTGCCTTTTATAGTTATGTTACATTTGATTTCTATTATAAATATATTCTTTTCCAGGTACGCTCTGAAATGATTTTTTTAATAATTTAACATAAAAGTAGTTGCTAAATATATATTCCCTCTATTTATATCTAATAAAATTAGATCAATGTCCTTCCACTTCAATGCCCTTCCCCTTTTCTTTTTATTTTTCCTTCTACCCTAAGTTTCTTGGAAGAAATAGCTGAATTCGCGTTAAGCCATCTATTATGCAATTTTTTATAGTATAATCTTACTTATTCTGTTCTGCGTTTTGATAATCGAGTACAATATAGAGTACTTAATATTATTTATTTTTATTCTTAGTTTATTCTAAACATGTTTCATTAAAAATTACTCGAGAAATGAACTGCATGAATTTCGTTGGGACTTGATTGCGATTGGCTAATGTTTGAATAAAATTTTTTGCCAAGTTTAATTTAAATAAAGTGAGAGTATCTTAACTTTACATAGAAGAGGGGTTTATTATACATCTTAGTCTAAACTAAATACGGAAAATATATGACAGACACTAAAATTAAAAAAAAAACAAAAGGAATAAAGTAAATAAGTTTGCGCTGTTTCACTTAATACATATTTCAAACAATAATATTATAAAAATTTGTAAGTTGTGTTACTTTTTCATAGTGTATTAACTGATATTTGCAATAGAGCTAATAATTTAGAACACTACTTTTGCTATCAATGTATGTACATTGTACAACATTGTTGTTTAAAAGCATGTGAAGCCGCGGGTAAACATTTGTTTGGGCAAGGAAATATTCAATCTATATTGAAACTCAACCCTACATTGGATCCTAGACTCAACTAGACTAGACTACGATCACTTCAACCGACTTCAAAAAAGAGGAGAATCTGAGTTCGATTGTATTTTTTTTTGTTTGTTACCTCAGAGTTCCCTCATTTATTAACCAATTTTGAAAATTCTTTTTTGTTTGTAATTTTATGCTTCCAGTTACGTCCCATTTGAATTTGAAAAAAAAATACCACCCGTAAGGATAGAAAAATTGCTAATCAAAATTTAACCTAGTTTTAATTGTCATATTGACTTAAAACTTTGCAAGTGTTTATATTTCCGCTGATAGTGCAGTGATTCGGTATCTGATCTGTTAGTAAAGTCAGAAGGTGGATAGGTGGAACTCTTCAACAGCTAATAGCAGAGATGCTTTGAGTTCGGGCTTTTTGTTTCATTTGACAATCCTAAAACGTTAGAATTGAATTTTACTTTGAAACCTCGAAAATATATGATTAGGTATCTATAGTAAATGAAAACTCCCATTCGATTATTTTTTACTTATTAGTGTCTTTTTTATCTTTTATCATGCTAAGATCTTAAGAAAAATTATTATTAAGAATAGGTAATAAATACATCCTAATCCTCTATATGTATAATAAGAATTTAAATCAATTTTAATTTTTTAATGATATGTAGGTCAAATATCGAATATATAAATAAATAAGATAAATTAAGTATATTATGCATCAGTGCATGCATTACAAAATCGGTTGTTGAACTATTTATTATTGCAATTAATACCGTACGACCTTCGCAAAATATATTAGATGTAATTCATTTATCTTTGTACTCTATTATACGAAATATCTGACCGTTTCAAGATTTACTCACGTAATTGCATAATATTTACGTTACCAACAATATGCTTAGTCCGTATAGTTAGTACATAGGATGCAAAGTATTTTAACATACCATGATTTTATCATCCAATGTTTTGATTAATAGTATGTTTTTGTTTGGTTACTTAAGAAAAAAACTAATTATTATGATAGATTTAGCGAATAATACGTATTTTATACATATTTTAAATATAAACCTGTATTAGAAACTAACATATAATACGTATATATCTATTTATGTTAAACTATGGTAACACGTGTCATGGCTGCTCCCCATACTAAAAAATTTAAAAAACTATCTATATTTCCCTGTCATCTGAATTCTTTTTTTACCGAAAGTTATGTATGTGCCTTTAGACCAAATTCTTTTTCCGCCGTTTTATTTTGTATTAATAAAACTGATCTAGCTCCTATTCTTTTATTATTTATCCCAAAGAATTTCCTGTCTTTTCTCTGAATATATTACAAGGCAACTTTTCTACCCATATCTATTCTCTATTTGATATTGAAAGTCCCATTAAGTACAATTAAACTAGGCAATGCTTAAAGATATTTTCATATATATTTGTACAGCTATATTTTAAGCTTGATATAGCGTAAATAGTTACAGGTATACACTAAAATTAATTTATTTATATAGATATTGAAATGATTTTTTTTTATTTAAACCAATTCCTTGAATGACGTAATTATAAGAACCACTTACTCGACATTTAACACCTGGCATTTTCGAAGGCCTGTAACTTTTCCATCCAAGAAGGTCACCTTGACTCCCGGCAATTGGATTGGCAGTTCCTCTATTATGAAGGGGTCTAAGGATGGTACACCAAGGTGAGGTATGCCCTTGGAAAATTCTGGTATAGCATCTTGTGTTGATTGTGCTAAGCATGATACCTCTGTGTTGTTACATGGGTGGATGAAATCCGCTGAAAAGTAAACGAAATTAAGTTAATAAATATCAAAACATTTGCTATTTTATAAAATAATGATTAAGACATGAACATGTTATATTTTGCTATAATTGTTTTAATAAATCCATTAACACTTATAGAGCACTGTGGGTGTTTTATGTTGTATTTAAATATAACGAGTTAAATGATCACAGTAATCATGTAGCTATAGCCATTTGAGCTTCTTATATTATAGTGTTTTTCTAGTGATAGAAATATGATCAAAATCATTAATGAAAATTTAAGGAAAGTACTATGAAAAAAATTACCTATCAATATGAGAAAAAAACTCTTTCCAACATTTTTTTATTGATAAAATTAAAGCTCGTCAAAACAAATAAATTCAGTTGACAATCAGAACTGTTTTGTCTTTGCCTATTTAAATTTAGTTATAAATTAAAATTTAATCCTTTATTTATATACTAGTATCTGGGCGACCGAATTTTGATGAATGATGAATGATGAATGATGAATTTTTCAGAAAATACACTTAGATATTTAAACTTAAAAAGCAAATTTAAAAGCAAAACCTTATGTAAACACAAATGTGATACAAATTGTTAGAGCTGAGATACACGAAATTATATATATATATATATATATATATATATATATATATATATATATATATATATATATTTACAAGAATTGCTTATTTAATCACTCTATAAACGCTGTATACAATTGCTTAAAAAGAAGCATGTACTAAGTACTCAAATTATAGCAGATATTACATAATCTTCACATTTAAAGTGCCTTAATCGCTTTGTTTTGACATATCATAATCTTCATTATTTTTAAAATAATTGGATCCTTAATGTACATGTCATTTCATACGAATCATTATAATGGTAGAGTCAGCAAAAAAATAAATGCTTTGAAATTACTAACTACAACAAAAAAGATAAAAGTTATAAGAGGGCTGTGACGTTTTCATGAATAACTTGTAACGTGTACTTTATGTGTAAATTTAAAAATTAAAGTTTGCAATATTACTAGAACTTGGAGATATATTGAGAGATGATGAAATAGCTTAATTTACTACCTATCTCTAAATTACAAGCGCGAGGCACTTTAGACAATTTTTATAACTTTTTAGGTAACTCGACAGACGTGCTGTCTTAAATAAATATTTTTGTGATTTTTAATGTTTTCCAAATTTCTCAATTATCTGCACTACTTTTTTTTCTCTAAGAACCTAATTCAGACTATTACGAACATCTAAATAAATGTATGCCTATTGCTATTTATTATATTATATATAATGAAAAATAAACCTCTGTATTAAGTAATTTAATATTATTATCGATACTGAGAACATTGTTATCATATGAAATCGTAATAGCGTAAGTTTTTACGAACATTTAGTGTTCTAAAATTTGTGTTTGGAAGGTGTTTGTTATGTTTTAGAAATCAAAATAATAATTTTCCGTATATTTTCTCTTATATTCTTTTTTACTGCACGTCACGAAGGAGGTAAGTTTTTTACAGTACATGATAAAGATAAAACAAATAAAAAAAAAACATTATTATAAAATGATAATTAGGCAGTGATAGCCCAGTGTTACAAACGCGTTTTCTTGGGAAACCAATTGAAGCGGGTTTAAATCCCGGGTCTCGCACCTTTGATAATTATTTTCATATACGAATCATTTCCAACATGATTACCACTTGCCTTAGGGTGAAAAAAAATATCGTGAGGAAAGGTGCAAGTATGAGAGAACTGAGCAAGTTTTCAAGACATGTGGAGTCCGGCAAACCGCAGTTGTTCAGCGTGGTGGACTAAGGCCTGATTCCCCTCGTATTGAAGGAAGACCCTTGCCCAACAGTAGGACTTTAAAAAGGGTTGAACACAATATAAAGAAAAAAGTAAAATATAGTGTTAAATAAATTCTTGTTTCTTAGTCTACTTTTTGTGTAGTTTAGTAGTTTAGTAGGCCTTGTGACACAAATAGTAAACGATATCATAAAGTTAAGTAAGTCGACATCGCGCCACTATGTTAGGCAATTTCAAGTTTCGCGTTTGATGCACGCAAACTGTTAAGGCGATTACTACAATATTTATTTAACTTAAACAAAATAGTAAAAACAACATATGTAATTTACTTTAAGCATAATATTAACACAATGCACGGTAAAAATAAGAAAATAAACTTATTTTTGAAATCTAAAAATTAAAATGTACCTATGCTATTATTATTATCTTATACCTTTAAACGCAATTCTTGTATGTATGTATATATATATATATATATATATATATATATATACATGCAGTTTTATTTTGCATTATTCCACGCAGAATATGGTCAGTAATTTGCACGCTCGGACAAGGTCGTAGTCAAGCGGCCAGAGTGCAAGATCAACTATCACAGGTGTCTAGATTCGAATCTCGGTCGCTTACAAAATTTTTACTTTTGCTTTTTTTTTATATTTATTCAAGGTTTTAGTTTTTTTTTTAAATTGTACTTTAGGCCAAAAACTCCTAGCGACGCTCGGTAGCCCAGGTAGGTATTTATTAAATGAAACAAGAATTAATGTAAGCTCAAAAAATAAAAATAAAATCAAGTATAGCAGAAATCTTTTTGAAGGTTATTCAAATAAACTTTGACCCTTTAAATCGTCAATTTTAATATTTAAATTGTAATATCTCTATTATTTTTCATATTACTTAATATCAATTAATTCCTCATATTCATATTTTTCTTATCGAATACATAAACAAAAAATAGGAGAAGAATATACAAAAAATATTTTCCATTTTTCTCTACTTTCCAGAGTAAGACGATCAACATAAAAAGCACCTAAAAGCCACATGGAATAAAAAATACAATTTAACTTTATTTTTGGTTGATTCATAGAGTCATTTCTTTTTAACGAGCGCGACACTAGTATTATTAAATTATAATCAATACTCAATACAAAATAAAATCAAATAGTTCACTTGTCTCTCTATATTTATCTATACAGATAAATTAAATTGAAGTGTCTGTTTGTAATGTCAAAATAACTCCTTTTTACTAAATGCATATGAAATTATATATGGTACTTATAAGAAATAGGTCTGTCTGCCTTTTTGTGTCACTAACGTTCCGAAACGCCTGAACTGATTTTGACGTGTCTTTCACTGGCAGATAGCTGATAATATAAGGAGTATTATTATATTTTTTATTTTTTATTGGGAGTGGTGCCGAGGTCGGCCCTAGCTACGTCGACAATTATAAGTGAAGCGAGTGTAAGTCGCTAGTTACTACTTTTTTATTATAATGTGAACTATAAGTATTAATTAATGAAAAGTTTTTCCAAGTTCTATTAATCGAAAACAAATAATTAAAGTTGTAAATATTTTTTGTCCATAAACGAATATTATTTTTAAGTTTTTTTTATTATAAATTCAACTTTCCAGTTTTTAGGCAACCGAGCTTCGCTCATCTATTGAATAAACTTAAAAAGCATTGGACATTTGTCACTCTATAATCTATGATAGGAAACATAGTGGACTACTGCTCTACCTAACACATAAAAACGATTAAAGAAAAATAAGGAAATCTAACTACCATTTTAAATGCAAAATTTTGTACGTAGACATACATAATTTCTTTGTTATTTCTTTACGCTGGAACCGCAGGGCTGATTTTGATGAAATTTATTACACAGAAAATATGACACTAGTACTAACCCATAGGTATTTACTCGTATGTTGGTTATAAAATTTGTCAAAATTTGTTATCTGCATAAAATATTAAAAGAAACCCAGGGATGCACTCGAGTGAAGCGGGGGTACGTCGCTAGTATATTGTATACGTATACTACGTAAAATATAATTGAACCCTAAACTTTTCGTAAGTGTCAAAATTAAAAACAAAAACAAAAAGCTTATTAGGATAATAATTAATATTATTCATAAACAATGAAGCCCGGTAAGTAGTAGATTAAATACATTTAACTTAATTAGAAAAGTTTATCACAAGCTTCCAAACAAATATTAGGCTTCAAACTTGGTAGCACACATTTTGTACATAGCCCATGAGTTCAACAATAAACGTCTGCCTATATCCATACTTAATATTATAAATGTGAAATTGTTTGTTTGTTTGTTTGTTTGTTTGTTTGTTTGTTTGTCCTTCTTTCACGTGGAAATGGAACGACGGATTGGCCTGATTTTTTTCTGTGGAGATAGTTGAAGTGCTGGAGAGTGACATAGGCTCAGAATTATTTGAAACTTGGTATTAATGCTCTTCAGTACAATTAAATAACTACGTGTTTAAGTATTTTTCGAAATTTATCCCATAAGGGAGTAAAATAAGACATGAAAGTTTGTACGAAACCTACCTTTTTATAGTTTTTTTGTAGTTTTACCGCGAGCAAAGACGCGGGTTCTGCTAGCACTAAATTTGTGAAATTCAGCGCAGGCTAATATAGAATTACAGGCATTAACGTTTCATACGTAAAAGAGATGAACAGACAAGGATAAGGTCTAGTTTCATGAACAAATTACATGCCTAATTTAGTAAATTAAAAAATACAGTTATATGTACATACTCGTATATGCATGTATAAAGTTACTATTTTTTACCCCCGGCATTCATTCGTCTAGTAAGCGGGACTGCGATGAAAGATCGTTTATGTCCGTCTCCACATTGCAATCTATATAATTGTCAATTTATATCATAATCTGTTCAGCTATAACGTGAAAAGGTAACAGACACATACTCGTAGTTACTTAATACACTACTTGGTAGCACACATTTTGTACATAACCAGATAATATTATACACTTATAATGTTATCGTCGATTTAAAGAATCACTTTTCTTGACTTATAACTGACTAATTTATTTAAAAATTACATATATAATATGTAAAAAAATATACCTAAATATCGTCGCGTAGCTTAGGGATAGTACAGTTTTCTATTACTGAAAATTTTCGAAGGTTCAGTAGTTGGAAAGAAAGCTTACGTTTGTGTTTATTATTTCACTTCAATAATTTCAATATAGTATTTTAAGAGTATACTTAGATAATTTTAACCGATGAATTTAGTTTAACACAAAAAAGCCATTGATTCTAGCATCGACTGAATCGTGATTACACAGACAGATATTAAAAATTTTAAAAGGTTTCTATTTCATAATATTAAATATTACGGTATAAATATACGCAAAATAATTTGATAGACAATTTTGAACCCTTTGTAATTTTGTCTGAGTGTAATATGTAAAGATAATAAGATATAGACGTCGCCTTAATTGTGAATTACGTTGGCGTGAGGCTCGGTAACGTTAGTAAACAACACGTTATTTGTGAAGCTGCGTTTCATTATATTTATGACTATTTCGGTGCTCAGTGGGTCATATGACAAGGGCAAAACGTGATATGAACCAATATGCATAATGACCATGTTTAAATATAAATTTAAAGTTAAATATATTTTTGTACTAGCGACTCACCCACGCTTCGCTCAGGTTCGTCCCAAGGTTGCTACCTTATACACATTTTCACCCCCCTAATGGATGATTTCCGGGATAAAAACTATCCTATGTACTCCTTCCCAGGGTCTCAAACTATCTTCTTACCTTTCATCTAAACCTGTTCGGTAGTTTCGGATACAAACAATTTTTTCCTCTTTATAATATTAGAATAGATGACTTATAAGAAATATAAAAATGTTATAATAATAATTTATGGGTATTTACTAATTTGTAATATTGAGAGGTTTATTATTTAAAAAAACATTTAAAGTTACTAGTAATTATGATGATATGATGATAGCATACTATCGCAAAAATATAAATGATGAAGCTCATCTGTTGAGGTTTTCATAGAAAATTGACAATTTCAATAAACAAAAAAAAGTTGAAGATATCGGGCTACCATAAATTTCTGCGTTATGTTTAAAGTTAAAATATGGGATATTAAAATATATTTGTGAACGAAATTAATTAACCCTTTTCCATATGAATTTCGTTTGTTAAATTCATAAAAAAAGCATCCAAATGAAGTAATACTACAAATCTAACACCTCCAGGTAAATATCTAAGGAATTAATTAAAATTCTAAGAAATCTATTGTTAACTGACACGCCGACGTGTCCGCGGTCGTGGAGGGAATGTTAATAATATATAAATACTAGCAGAACCCGCGGCTTCGCTCACCCTAAAACTACATAAAAAACTCTAAAAAGGTAGGTTTCATACAAACTTTCATCCCTTATTTTACCCCCTTATGGGATGAATTTCGAAAAATGCTAAAACACGTATTTATTTAATTGTATTGAAGAGCATTAACACCAAGTTTCAAGTAATTCTGATCATAAATATTTTTTGGGTTGTGTTGTAACATGTTTTCCCGTAGAAATAAGATAATTTCCCGCGGTGAAAAGTAGCCTATATCACTCTCCAGCCCTCCAACAATCTCCACACACAAAATTAGGCCAATCCGTCACTTCGTTTCGACGTGAAAGAAGGACAAACAAACAAACACACTTTTGCATTTATAATATTAGTGTGGATTATACTTCTTGACTGTTGGTTATATTTAGAATGATTAATTTTTTTGACAATAATCGTAAGATTAAAATATGAAATAAATAATTCATATACTTATAAACAAATCGACACTGATAATATATAATTATTATTTATAATAATATAGAAAATTTTAAAACATATTTTATTGCAATTTATAGAAAAAAATATATAAATAATAATAATTAAGTATAATAAAACCGGTAAAATGCAAACCGGTAAATCCGTGAATAATTATTGAAACAGTGAATTTGTAAGATACCGCCAATAGAAAATGTAATACTTACGCGCCACCCGGGCCAAAGTACTGTTTGCGAAGGCCAGTACTACCGCCACAAAAGGGAAAACTAAAACATGTCTTTCACACATTGCTATTGTTCACAGTAATCTATAGAAATAAACGTCCGATGTACGTCAGCTGTTCCAAAACCTATAGTCGCACTGAGGTGACCTTCCGTAACGTATGTACTCCTTATGTTCTAAACGAGTTCTTTCTCATTGTAGATTGCACAAATCGAAGTATTTGTTAAGAAACCTGCTTTTTACGGTACGCTGGTATTAAATGTTTACTAGTGCACGCTATTTGTTGACCGCGTGCATTCAAAATCGGCGAGCTTGTGAACGCAGGAGTAAGGTTGGACGTAGTTGCACCAAAACAGTACTCGTATGTCCGTTTTAAATGACTTTTACTGCAGCATTCTTGATATGAACGGAACGGTTTAAAAGGTTATTATTATTATATATGTTATTTATCTATACATATAATAAAATTCTGAGTCTTCTTATTGAAATAGTCATTATTATAGATACAGAGGCCGAATCTATTTACTACTTTTAAAAATATTTGTCTGTCTGTTTGCCCGCCGATGCAAAGCAAATCTAATATACTTCGATACGTAAAATACATATTTACTATTTAATTATTCATATCTTAAAATATTGTAGGCTGGCACCGACTTCGAAAATATCTGATTAAATAACTATTCTAAATGAAAACCTCCGTTTAGTTATTTTTTATATTTTAGTGCCTGGAAGTCGGTTTTTATTTTTTGTTAAAAAGTTTTTATTTTTCCAATTTTAGTGTATACGTAATAAGCAGGTAATTTGTTAAGAAGAAAGATTTTTAATAACAAATTCGATTAAGCAATTTATTTAAAAAAAATATATATTGTTCATATTTAAAAAACCGCTCTACCGATTTCGATATAATTTATATGGGGCTACCTGGGAAGTATACCCTTTGAAACAAAAAAAAAATCCAAATCGGTTCAGGCGTCTTCGAGTAATCGGTGAACAAACATAAAGAACAAAAGATTCCGACGAATTGAGAACCTCCTCCTTTTTGGAAGTCGGTTAATAATAGTAAAAGACAATATAAAATGTTTGATGATGGAATGAATGGAATTTTCAAATATCTATGTTTGTGAATGGGTATAATTTTGACTCGCGCATCGAGGATATAGTACCACGGAATATTGTGTTGTATTTACTAAAATATTTACACACAAATATTTTTTTTACGGTTCCTTAATATGTTACACATACTTTATTATTTGCAAAAATAAGTTCGCATTTCATGTTATCTATTTCTTAAAAATATTATGGAAAATAAATTCAATTTTAGTGATCATAACTCAAAATATCTAGTATCTAAAAAGATATTTTAATTTATTTTAAGTATTTTGCACGCTCCACTACCTCTATTATTTGCGCATTTTCTACTTCATCTTTTCAAACTTAGAGAAAGAGATTACAATAATAAAACTCGCTTACAATATTTACGATTTAAGAATCATGTATATGGGCTTTTAACTAACATACTAACAGGCTAACACGTACGTTATTTTAATCCAATTAATCCAATATTACGTATACCTAAAACTTACAGTCTCCCCTCCTTTTGTAGGTTACTTTAAAGTGATACCTATTCTTATTTTGTAAAGCTTTCTGCCTGCAGCTACGCTTGCATGAACTAAAGGATTTGCTCAGCTTTAATTTTCATTAAAATATGTAGTCATGTCGAATTTGTTATCATTGTTATAATGTTATCACTCTAGATTCACTTAGCTTAGACTATGCTAAAAAGCCGCGAACAGGAACTAAGAATTTAATTAAGAACTTTTTGTATACCATATTGGTGGATGTTCTGTATAGTTCTGGGTTCTGCTAAAATGTCTATGTGAGAGCAATCGTTTCTTAAGTCTATGCCTGCTACTATGAATAACTGATCATGAGATTTATCAGTGATCATTGCAAAGCAAATTTTAAGGATCACATTAAATTAAATCAAAGGTTATCAGTGATATTCGAGATATGAACACTGATTCCCCTCGAGCACATCCGGCAAACACAGTAATGTTTTATGGATTACTCGCTGTCTACTCCCGTTACGTAGCTCAAGTAGCTTGTTTGGCTCACAGTAAGTGTACACTTTCGGAAAAATTGAGCTATATTACTCTGTTTAAATATATTTAAACAGAGATGTGTACGGGGATTTCAACTCGGGGTGAGATTGAACGGGAGTTTAAACGCAGCGTAAGCCGTTTTACCACCTTCTAAAAGTGCATTTTCAGATGAGGCCAAGATAATGCGATTACTTTTTAATTTAGTCAAGAGCAATTTTTATTGTATAAAAAAAGCTTTTTAAGTATTTAACTGTTCTTTACTGTTCCGTTAAGTAAGCGTCAATAGCATTAATGCTGATTTTTAAGTCATCTCCACCCTGTTAATATTTTTACCCTGTCAGGGGACGAATTTTGAATGATTTCAATCATTGATTGATACGAACACGTATTTGTTATTTTTTTGTTTTGAATACTTAGTTTTAACATAAAAAATGGCGGATTTTCTTAGCAACTTTACCAAGCTAGCTTTAACTTTAGCTAGTATTGTATAAAATGTTTTCTTTTTAGATTCCACTTTATTAACTAACTAGCGACTCACCCTCGCTTTGCTCCAGTACGTCCCTAGGTTTATTCCCCATACAAATTTCATCCACATTGTCACCCCGTTAAGGGATTATTTTCAGGATAAAAAGTATTCTATGTCCTTTCAAGGGTCTCAAACTATCTTGTTACCAAATTTAATTTAAATCGGTTCAATAGATCCAGAGATTACCCCCTACACCGTCACAAACTCACAATTCACAAACTTTACCTCTTTATTTTATTAGTATAGATAACTATATATTTAATATTATATTTCATTATCATTCATCTTATAAATCATTTTTTTCGTGGTATTAATGATCTTTAATTAAATTAAATTAACATGTGTTTCAACGTTTTTGGTAATTCATACTGCAAGGGGGTAAAAATGGGTATTTTCAACACAAAATGTGAATACACAGTAGTTTTCAATCGTTATTGTAAAACGATTATAAAGTAATTATTCACTTAGCCCCTAACTATAGACTGAGTTTCAGTATTTTTTACGGTAAAGTATCTAAACGTATACAGGAGATAGTGTAGTTTCTTTTCGTAAAAGAAGTCCCTTCTGACTAAAAAATATCCCACAAGAATCACTTAATAGACTCATAGTAAATAAAGTTTACTTATGTATTTTGATTGATGATCGATTTGATCACAATAGACGAGAAATGGTCGAAGTGATATTTTAAGGCCGCAACAAAGAAATAAAAAAATGGATTTTAATGCTTCCTATTTGTACAAGATATTTGAGAATGAAAGCAGTGAATAAAACTGTATTTTCAGATCTTTCTGAACTGAACTAACCAACCAGTCAACACTGAGGTCATGATGTCTCTCCCGTGATTATGATTGCTTTAACTTTAAAGCATTCGCAACGTCGAGAACCAAAAGTCATACATAATAAATCTGCGAAAAATCTGAAAAATTAGTATTATTTAAAATATTAACGTAAATCTAAGAAAGTTTCATCAGTATTTCTAGAGATTAAATACGTACTCTTTGTACCTCTTTTTAATTAGTGTATATTATTTATTATCAAGGTTAATTATTGAAGTGAAACTACGCGCATGAGAGTAAAATTTCAAGGTCTCGTCTCACAAAAAACACAAAAAGCCGTCATGCCCGTGACACTTGCATTAGGTTGCCATAGTAACCGTTGTTGTGTGATAAATGATAAATAATATGATATTTTTTCTGTTGCTATCTTTAAAAATTACTATTTTTACTGATTTATTTTCAAATATGTAAAATATTTAATAAATAGTGGCTTGGCCCCTAGGTTAAAACGTAAGTTTTAACGGTTAGCGTGGAATAGATAGAGATGTACAATGTACAAAATGTAAATGACCAATGAAGTTTTACCTCTGACACGTATACTTTGTACACAAACCTTTTTTTAATTTAATTAATTAATAAGACTGGTATTATATAAAAGGGATGAACCAAGAAAGAAAATTCTTCTATATTTTTTAATTTTATCAGTAAACTAACATTGTTCGCGGCTTCGCCCGCGTCCAGATGACCAAAAACCAAATTCTTAGGTTTTACATATTAGTATACTCTTATATTGCAGTTTTAGTATTTTTTCTCAGAAATGAGACATTTTCCAGCGGTAAAATGTTTCCTATATGTTGATCCGGATAACCAGCTATCATCATACTAAATTTTATCAAAATCCCTCCAGTGTTTTTTCTGTGATGCGGTAACAAACAGACAGACAAAAATTCTAAAAATTATAGATTCGGCCTCTGTATCGATAATAATGTTTATTTCAATAAGATTTTCCAAAAAATATCTAATGTACAGATTCGGCTTATTTACAATTTTATTATATGTATAGATTTGCTCTGCTTGTCGCATTTTCAACAATAATAGGTGATGCTCGTTATCATGGCGTCATAATGTAGAGTAGTAATTCAATTAATGCATGCGTCATGGTGTGTTTAACCGCCATTGGTTTTTTTCTCTTGAGAGTAGTGGAATTTTTAACCGATTACTTAAAGGCGGAGGTCATTCCTGTTGTTTTTTTGTATTTTACGCGATATCTTCGGCACTTTTGAACTGATTTTCATTATTCTATTTTTCATAAATATTTCATATGGCAAAGTCTTTTCATTGTTGAATTTAGCCTGTTTCGTTAAAAAATAATTATTTGATAATTAAAGTTCGACCTAACAGATCCTGCGAACACAAATGGTTTCTATTCAAATTATTTCTTGCGTTTTAGACATCTGCATAAACATTGAAAACTTGTATTTCTTATGATATTAGGTAATTTAAATATGGATAATAATATTATTAGGTGAATGGACTAAAATTTATAATAGATAATATATTTGCTATATTTTAACCATGAAAACAATATAAATAATTCAAATTAGAACGTACTTTGGATTATAAAACCGTTGTTATATCAGAATCTGGATTGTTATAAGAAGC